CAGCTCGCCAACAGCAGATACCATAGGTAGCCTCAGAAAGGTAAGTTCACTAAATTCATAACACGCGTCACAGCGACGGTACAACATTGTTTTCAAGAAGTAATATATGGAGCAGGATGGGACATTATTGGTGGGTGGCAGGACGTGATAACAGCCGATAAAGTACCATAGGGGGCCCACTTCAGGAAGGTCTCAAGTTTCAATGCAAGAGTCGGAGCAACAACGGGGAGCTGCATCTGAACTCTGCATGTGAACTTGACCACCGTGGCCCAAGGATTAATGGGCCAAACCTGAGCCGAGATGTTCCTATTCCTTAGCGATGTAATCAGAATTGCTCCGACCGCTAAACTCTCGAGTACCACCCAGAAGTAAAAGCCTAAAGTTGTTTGCCAGTGAGGAATGATAAGAGTCACCAATAGACGGATATGTGAAAGCTGCTCAACGGAAGTACTAGGATGTAAGAACATTTCACTATGATTTCGATATTGTTACCATTGAAACTCTTTCAACCGCTAGCTGTCCCATTTCCAACGAATGGTGAGTGTTGTGATAAGCACCATACGTTGGCAAATGTTCATTAAAGAGGAGAATTATGATGAAATGGGCCGTGTTTCGAAGCATGGAAATAAAGCGAAGTGGAGGGAGCCTCTCTAAAATTCTGCCAGTGCTCAGTACCATAGGTTTAACCACTCGCGCAGTAGTGCGCGTCAGCCAAACTGGTAAAATATAACAAAAGAGAGCAGAATCATTCATGAGCACGAGTGCGGTCAGCGAAAAGGGCATGCGATTCCGATTAATGCCCGCCGCCCCAACAAAGAACAACTGAGCGGCCCTCCGTCGGAGGGCATCTAGCAAGTGGGCGGTCCAACTGAGCGGGCGTTAGAACTAGAACTTTCAGCGGCTGTAGCTCGCTAATCGCTCGCTGTGGAGTTGCGAGAGTGGGACAGTCTCTAGCTTGGGGGCTGTACTACTTGCACAAGGAAGGACGACCATGTACTACTCGAGCGCGGGGGTTGTCTTTAAACACGCTTGAAAGCGCAGCAACGCGCTGCGTTTGGAATTGCAGTTGAGTCTGAATGCTGCTTTGTGCTTGCTTGATGCTTGTCTCAAGTGCCATTGTGTCATTGTTTCTTAAAATTAAATTTCAGGAATTCGCTGATCGTATGACTAGGAATGACATCGGTCCGCAGGCAAGTTTCGGAGGTGGAGATGTTCCACCAGTGGGAGACAACAGGTATTCTCTCATTTCTCGGAGCCTGCTGATTTTTTCATTAGTTGGTACT